GGATTGGAGGCATAGCCTCTGACCTCCTGCCATTTGGCAGGGCATGCAGAATGCCTCTGAGTGGTCCAGGGTTCAGAGTGGTCCCTGACCCAAGGCCGGTTTTGGGAGAGATCCTGCATCCCATGAGAGCTGGTAAGGCCACGTCAGGCCCCTGCCCTCTCAGTTTGTGCCCCAGTGTTGGTGTGGGCAGGGGATGTTCTGAGCCGTGGGGATGGTCTCTGAGCCAGTGCTGGTGCTCAGTGGGTTTGGGTGACTGGGACTCCCCCCAGTATGGGTGAGGGATGGGGAACTGGCACTCCTTTGGAGCCGGGGACATCAAGCCCAGTGCCAGCTGGTGGAAGAGGAGATCACCTACGACCAGACGCTGGCCTGGGAGGAAGGTGCGGGACGCGGTGCCGGTTTAGGGCACGGAGGCGCCAGGACCCGGCTCTGATTTAGGGCGAGACAGCGGGGGGTGCAGCCGCCATAACCGCGGTGGAATCGGGCCCCATTTCTCACCGGCGCTTGGCATCGAGGCGGGCAGCGATGCGGCGCTGGCGAGCGGCGATGCGCTCCTCGGGACCAGGGCCGGGGTCGGTGCCGCCAGGGCCCTGTCCCGGGTCCCGCCATCCCGGCGCCGCAGCCTCCGCGCCCGCTCCGCGCTTCATCCCGCACAGGTAGGCCGCAGCTGCCGAGACCGCTCACCCGCGTCCTGCCGTCGCCAGGCAACGCCCGCACCGCGCATGCGCACCTGTCCCGGCTCGGCTCGCCTCGCTCAGAGGGCGCTGTCGCGCATGCGCGCTGCCGTCGTGGTGCTGAGGCAGCGGGGATGGTGTAGGGGAGGGTCCTGGGTGTCATGGGGCAGGAGATGGGTCTTGGGGCAGGTGAGGGGTCTCGGGGCAGTTATCGCTGCTGGAACGTGGCCGCCGGGTTGTCCAGAGGCACCACCGCGGTCCTGTGTGCCCTGCGCCGCACTGCTGGTTTGGTCCTGTGTGCCCTGCGCCTCTGGCAGCACCCACCCTCAGGGACACCCGTGCCCATGGACACCTGTGAAGCGATCCTCGCCGCTTGCCGGCGACATGAGATAAAGCTCACGGCCAACCACGCAAATCAAACCCATGCCCAGTGTATAACGTAAGGCAAGGTTCATTGGAGCCTTTGGCAGATTGATTACGTCAGAGCCTTGAAGCATTCCAGTGGGGAACAGTATGTCTTGATAGACGTAGTGTTGGGATTGTCTATGGCTACAGCTTCAGTACTGCCACCAGAGATGAGACGGTCAAGGCTTTGTGAGAATGGTTCAGTGTTCTCCCATGCCCACAGCCCCTGGGTGATGATCTCCAGAAAAGCCCATAGGGCCCCATTGCTGGTGGAAGGCATTTGGACTGGGAAAATAGGGGTTCCCTGTGCACTTCTCCAAGCAGACTTCCAGCATCCTCAAGGGACTTCTCTGCTGCTGCTGGGCCTCCTCTTGCGTTCCTCCTCTGGGGGTCCACTCATGGCTTTAGTCCTAGAGAAGTGAGGCGGGAGGATGACATCAATCCCAAGGCTGTGCATCCCTCACTGGGGATGAGTGATGATGAATGGAGAGGTGCCCGGTGGTTACTGTGGGGCTCTCAAGCTGCAAGTCTCGGAGCCCAGAAATGAGGAGGAAGCAGGGCTCTGGGATAGCTGGGGTTACATGCCAGCCCCTCTCAGGGAGGGGACGAGGCACAGAACAGCCCCAGTGCCTATGTCCCCCTGCCAGCACTGTCCCTGATACCCTTGTAGCCGTGGAGGGCATTGCCCACCTGTTCATTCAATAAATAAAGAGCTCTCAGGCATGTTTTAAGGATGTTACTGGTTTACTCTGGTAAAGGCCTAGTTTCACCATGAGTTATCCACGTAGGTCTTGCATTCCTGAGGAAAGTGCTCATGGCTGCTCTTCGGGGATCTCTGCTGCTGAGGGCCTCCAGAGGTGACCATCCTAGCAGAGCACAAGGCACTCGAGGACTCCTTGGTCCTGTGGCTGCGCAGGGAACAAACCAGCCTGGCCTCTGCTTCCCCTCTGGGCAGGATGGGGGCAGGCAGGCAGCAAGGTCCTGCAGCCACTGGTGGTGCTGGTGGCACCTGCAGGAGGGACATTTCTGCAACCTGAGCCAGGCTGTCATCAGGGGGTCTGAAATAGTCCAGCAGCTCCTGGACTTCCTCACTGAAGTCCACCATCTCCCTGGCCCCAAAACAGACACATGCCCACATGCACCTCACCTGTACCTTCTGCAGGTCTTGGGCAGCCACTGCTGGAACTCTGGGCTGCTTCGAACAGGGAAGACACAGTGACTTCTCTGTTCTCTATGGGGGGGGGCCCAGCAGAGCCAAGGCTCTTCTTGGCTACTCTTGAAGAGAGAAGGGAGGCAAGGAGGGACACCAGGGCTCCGTTTGTCCCCCAGCAGGACCCCCGGGGTAGGGAGGCTCCTCAGAGCCCCAGGCTGGGGGCAGAGGGGGGCCCTGAGGTGCAAACAGGGGCCCTGAGCAAAGGGCTACCCTTGAGCTGTGGCATGGGCATCTCCCGGACTTCCCTGGCATTAACCCTCTCCCCCTGCAAGCCCTTCAGGATTCCACCTTCCTTGGCCCCTTCCACACATCGGGGCCCTGTGCCTCCTCCTGGATCTGTGCCGGATCCTGCATCTCCACTTGCTTTCCCTCCCAGCAGTACTGCGTGTGCACAGGAAGCACTGCCTCCAGGCAGAGGGGCGGCTGAGGAGGTTGATGGTCTCCTGGCTCAGTGCACACAGAAACCCTGTGGCTGTCAGCTTGACCATCCATCTCCAGAGGGGCCAGAGGGACAACACCTTGCAGGGAGTCAACACTTTAGTGTCAGTCCCATTTCAGAGCCCCATCCAATCCAGAAGTCAGGGAGAAGCCATCACATCCCTCACCTCCATCCCAATGCTCCCAGGCTACACTATATCACTGTACAGAAACACCTGAACACCACAGCTTTGATGGCTGCCCAAGACAGTCCTGTTCTGTCCACATCCCTCCCTCCATGCTTTTCCCACACCACATCCTTGTTTCTAAATTGGAGATGAAAATCTGAGGGGTGGACTGCGGAAGATCAGGGGACAGCACACCGATTAATGTAATCAAGAGCTGAGCTTTATTTGCACAAAATCCATGCCTTTTATAGTATTTCTTACATGCACTTACAGTGATTTGGCATATTATGATTGGATACATGTCTTGAAGACCCTTAGTGACTAACATATAATTGGTTAAGCACAGGTGTGAGAACTTGACCTCGAAAGCTTGCCAACAGTCCACAGTTCTCATAACTCAGTGAATTCCAGCTTCTTCTTATCTTGCTTGCTTAAGCTTCCTTGGGCCTCTCATGGTCTTGCTGTATCTTTCAGGATTATTCAGAGTTTATGTACCAATTATCCTTTCTCCTGTGAGAACACTGCCTCCACAATGGACCACCTGGTGGATAAAAAACTGGTTGGATGGCCATACACTTGAGAGTTGTGGTCAATTGCTCAATGTCCAACTAAAGACGGATAACAAGTGGTGTCTCTCAGGGGTTGGTGTTGGGCCTGATCCTGTTCAACATCTTTGTTGTTGACATGGAGAGTGGGATTGATGTGCCCTCACCAAGTATGCCAACAACACTGTGGGTCAGTTGATAACGCTGGAGGGAAGGAATGCCATCCAGAGGGACCTTGACATAACTCAGAGGTGGGTTGATGCCAACCTCATGAAGTTTAACCACGCCAAGTGCAAGGTTCTGCACCTGGGTTGGAGCAGTCCCAGGCACAGCTACAGATTGGGCAGAGAAGAGATTCAGAGCAGCCCTGAGGAGAAGGACTTGGGGGTGTTGGTCAATGAGAAAATGAACATGAGCCAGCTTCAGTGTGCACTTGCAGCCCAGAAAGCCAACCGTATCCTGGGCTGCATCAAAAGGAGCGTGACCAGCAGGTCGAAGGAGGTGATCCTGCCCCTCTACTCTGCTCTTGTGAGACCTCACTTGGAGTATTGTGTGCAGTTCTGGTGCCCTCAGCATAAAAAGGACATGGAACTGTTGGAACAAGTCCAGAGGAGGCCACAAGGATGATCAGGGGACTGGAGCACCTCCCATATGAAGATAGGCTGAGAAAGTTGGGGCTGTTCAGCCTGGAGAAGAGAAGGCTGTGTGGAGACCTCATAGCAGCCTTCCAGTATCTGAAGGGGGCCTACAAGGATGGTGGAGAGGGACTCTTCATTAGGGACTGTAGTGATAGGACAAGGGGTGATGGGTTAAAACTTAAAGAGAGGAAGTTCAGGTTGGGTATAAGGAAGAAGTTCTTTATTGTGAAGGTGGTGAGGCACTGGAACGAGTTGCCCAGAGAAGTGGTAAATGCTCATCCCTGGCAGTGCTCAAGGCCAGGTTGGACAGAGCGTTGGGCAATATGGTCTGTTGTGAGGCATCCCTGCCCATGGCAGGGGGGGTGGAACTGGATGATCTTAAGGTGCTTTCCAACTCTAGGTATCCTGTGATTCTGTGCTGTGCTCACCCTGCCCACGACAGCTCCACCTGCTCTCTCTGAGCTTCTCACAGGTTCACTGGCCTGGCATTGAACTGATTGACAGGCTGATACCGGAGCTTGGATGGCATTGCCTGCTCCCCATCCGTGGTGCCTGTGGGTGCTGAGCCCCCTGAGCTGGCCAAAATGCTGCTTTGCACGCTCTTCTTCAGTTTGGCCTAGAGCTCCCTGAAGCACTGCACCCTGAGCCCCTGGTCCAGGCCATTGTAGTCCACAGAGGGCAGGGGCTCCATGGCAGCTCTGTGCAGCCAGGCCAGGGCCGGAGGGGAGGGTGCCCATGCCCACAGGCGCTGGCACAATGTGGGGTCCACGCTGGGGAGGGTAGCACTGCTGGTATTGCCCCCTTGGGTGTGCTGCGGAGCCCCTGCATTCTGCCTGGCCGGTCTTGAGTGTGCTGCCAGTGTCCCCTGGTCATTGAGGTCGAAGAATGATGCCTGCAAGTCCTCGCCATCCCCAGGGCACCGCTATCCAGAATATTCTGCAGCTCATCCAGCAGGTCAAGGTAGATTTGGGTGAAGTTCAGGGACTCCACCAGGGATCTGGCAATGGAAGGCTGGTTCCTGAGGAGCTCTGCACCAAGATCTCCACCTTCATCCGTGGATCCTGTCCTGTACTGGTGTCCCCTTGCAGGGGCAGCATCCCCAGCATGGGTTCTGTGGGGGGAATAATGGCTGGCTGTGGGGCCCAGCATCTTCTCTCTGCCTTCTCCTGAGTGGCTTGGTGAGCTCCAGCTCACCCTGGGGTGCTCTGGCTCAGGTGGGGTCGTGGGGATGCTCAGGACAAGTCCAGCCCAGCAGCATGAGATGAAGAGCAAGGGGCCAGGCACTTGGCAGCCAGAGGTTGAGCACAGAGAGGGGCACAAGGGCCACCAGTGGGCTCTGCAGGAAGGGGTGCAGTGGGTGTCAGCAGCAGCAGTGCCCTGGAGACCTGGCATCTCTGCAGAGCTTTTCCCTGGCCCTCCCCAAGCCACCAGCCTCTTCCCTTGCCCCCCAAGCTCTTCCCTTCCTCGGCTTCTTCAGGGGATCAGGGCTGACCCCAAGACCTGGTTCTGTGCTGGGTCCTGCCCTTGCCCACCTGTTGCCTCCCCTGGCAATTGCACGGTCAGAGGGACCCACATGTGGGGTTCCCCAGACAGGGGTCCAGTATGGGGCTGCCCCCGCAAAGGGAAGGGCTTTGCTTACTTAGCCTTCAGGTTCTCCTTAGACCCCTGGTGCCATCCCTCACGATGAAGGCTCCTGGGAAAGGAGGAGGCAGAGGGAGAATGAGCAATGGCAGCCTTTGCGGGGCCTCCTGGTGCAACGGTATCTCTGGGCTAGGAGCCCCTGCAGAGCCGGCGCAGCTCTGGGATGGGGTTGCTCACCTACTGGGTTCTTCCTCCTCAGCTTTTCCAACTCCACTTCCTGGCAAAGGTTCCCTGCTCCCAGAAAGAGTGCCTGGGGTTATTGTGGGGTGTCTCCGATGAGCCAGGAGGGCCCCTGCATGGCAAACAGGGACCCTGGGAAGGGTAAGCGGAGTCATGGGCACAGGAGTGTCCATGGCCGCAAGCCTGGTGCCTGAGCAGAAGCTGCTCGGTGGCTCTGGAGCAGGGGCCTGGCTTGGGTGGGCAGCAGCCACTGTTCACTGCTCCCTCCCAGCACCCCACGGATGGGCCTTGTCCTGGGCTAACCCTGCCCTGAGAGGGCTTGGGGTGGTACCAGGGTGGACACCTACCTTGTACTTGCACTTGGGCCAACAGGACATGAGGGTGCTCACACACACTGCAGCCAACAAGCCAGTGGCACAGGGCAGCACGAGCATGCAGAGGACCCAAAGGCTCAGGGTTGCCGTCAAGATCAGCAACACCAATTTCCACTCCTCCATCATTAACATGGACTTCCAGCATCTGCTCCAGAAGCTCTACACAACAGGGGGTCAATCGGGGAGGCCAGGGAGACCCTCCGAGGCGAGGAGAGGCTGGGGTGACACTAAGCACACTGCTCCGACCTTCTTGTGTTCTTTTCCTGCCATCCCTCACAGTGTCCAGTTGCTCGCTGGCTTATACACTGTCAAAGGGACACCTGAGTCTCCCCAAAACCTCCTATGGTACAGGCCATGTTTGTGATGCATATTTGTGGGGAGTGGGCTGGGATGATCCCTCTGGGCTACCCACCTCCACTTCAAGGCCATCCCACAACTCCCATTGCAAGGGTTCTCACTGGCCAGGGGCACCTGAAGGTAAGGATGGGAGATGGTTAGGCCAACTCATCTCAACGGTTTTTTAGTGCAATTCCCACCCCACTTAGGAGCTGTCACAGTGACTTTTCTTGGCAGTGCTCCCCTTGCTTCCATTGCCATGGTGTTCAAGAGCACATGGTCCTTCAACCAGGCATGGAGTAGCAGTGGCCCGTCCCCTCCTGTGGTGCTAGTGGGTGTCATGGAACCAGTAAGTTAAACCAAACAAAATAGGGAACCATAGGTCATTCAGGCCTCTAACTCCTTTGTGTGGGGCCTGGGGTACATCCTGTTAGCCCTGGCATCAGCCCCTACTCCTAACCTCCTCTTGTCTCCATGACAACAGCAAATACAAAATACCATGGCAACCCCATGGCAACAGCACAAGCAATGCCACCAGTTCCCACAGCCCGGAGGCGGGCATTCCTGGCCGTGCTGAAGCTGGAAATCTCTTCCTCTGGGCTTCATGGCTGCCTCCCAGCCCTGCAGTGGTGACCACCAGTAGCTCTGGATGGAGGAAAAGAGGTCCTGCTGCCCGGAGGTGGCCAGACGTGATCATCTTAGCCTCATCCATCACCCTCATGGAGCAGGTCCTCCTCTCCAGGTCTGCATCAGCTGCTTCACATCCAACCTGGAGCCCAGGCAGCCCCTTTTATGGGGCACTTATTTTCTCTGGGACAGGAACCTGACAGAAAAGTGGGGTGTTGGGGATGGGTTTTGGGGCTGCTTCAAGCCCCTGCCAGGATCTTGGCTCTGCAGGGCTGAGTGAACCCATTGTGGCTGGACTGAGGCACCAGGAGGGGGATGGCTGGTCTGGGTGAGGAAGGACAGCCCAGGGTCTGCAGACATGGCCTGAGTCGGGGTCAATGAGCAGAGATATGCCCGTAGATAATTTGTGGAGGACCCTATGGGCTTCTCAGACATCCCAGCTGGCCCTGCCCACTGCCTGTGTGGCCCCTTTGGATGTGCAAGAGGTGAAAGAGCTCCGGGACACAGTGGGACATGCAGTCTCCTCACCAGGGACTGCCAGATGGCAAAAGAAGAGCAAATCCAGCACCATGGCGGGTGCTTTCCTGCTAATCCTCACGTCCTGATTCCCCAACCGCTTCCAAACCTGAGAGCCTGACCCTCCCACTCACGAGGGCTGAGGAGAGCTGGGGTGCTGGCAGGGAGCACCCACACTGTGGACCCCCCATGCTCACATGGGCGGTGATATTCCTATGAGGTCCCAGCTCCTACTGACAGCTCCTGAAAGAACACTTGAGAACCATGAATCTCTCTCCAGCATCTGAATCTTGCTCCAACACCCTGTGCTGCCATGGCCTGTGGTCTCCTCATCGCTGCCCATAGCAGACACCCACCCGCCCTGACTCCTGCTCTTTTCAGGGGTTTGGGGCCTGAGCCACTTGGGTAAAAAATTATTCATCCCCTCTAAGTGAAAACAAGATTGATAACGATAGAATCCTAAGATGCTTTGGGTTGGAAGGGACCTTAGAGATCTAATTCCAGCCTCCTGCCATAGAGAGGGACACCTTCCACTAGACTAGGTTGCTTCAAGCCCCCTCCAACCTGGCCTTGAACACTGCCAGGGATGGGGCAGCCACAGCTTTCTCTGGGCAACCTGTGCCAATGAAAACTGGCTCCACTTATCAAAGTAAATAATACAGTTACTGCTTGGCTGGAACTTGCTATAGGTTGTGGGGGGCAGGGGAGCCCCACATCCTTGGGGTGCTGTAGGGGGGGACAGAGGAGCTCAGGTTGGCCGGCCTCAAGGTGGCAGCAATAACCTGCAGCATCCCTCTACCTGCTTGGAGTGAGTGGGGACCGCTCCATCCAACCCTCCTGGCTCGAAGGACATCCTCAGCCTCCTCTCCTGGCGTCGCCTCCCCACTTCTTCGGTGTGACTCCTGCGTGACAAAACTTCCTCTGCTCCTTCGTGGTGCTCCTAAACGTCTGCTGGTGGCTCCGGAGCTGCAGCTGGTGCCCTCCTCCATCTCCCCGACCCTCCGGCTCCGGCCCCAGCCCTGCTCCCTGGCAAAAGTAAGTTGTTGCTCTCCTCCCTCCAGCAGCCCCACACTGGGATGCTCAAAGCCGTTCCAGAAGCACCGCTCCCTAGTGATAGGAGAGGTGCTATTAATAAATCCCGTCAGATTTTATCGCTTCTCTCTGTGCCAATGAAGAGGGTGGTTTATGGAAGGGGGAGGCGGGGGGAAACCTGTTTCTCTCGAGCGTTTCGTAGCTACGAGCTCACCCTCAGTGCAGGAGCATGGGATGGCTCAGCAGACTGTTCAACCAGCTTTCCTGTAAGTCACGGGGATGAATCCGCTGGGGGCTCCGGGGGGCTCTTGGGTTAGTTTTTGGCAGGGATTAGCAGGTGGGAAAGGATGCCCTGCTCCCTGGGGGCTGTGCTGGCCAGGGCATGGAAGCAGCGTGCCAGGGTCTCTCCCAAACTTGTGTAGAGCCCAGGCATCTCCTTGGGAGTACGTGGATGAGACTGGACTAGGACAAGGGGATGAAGAGGGAAAGGGGTGCGGAGGAAAGGGTGTGCAGGGCAGACATGAAGCCACAGCAGCAAACAGCGGGGTCCCTGGAGCTGGTGCTTTCTCCCCACTCCAGCTGTCCACTGTCCACCATGCCTCCCCCTGCCCCTTGCCAGGAGATGCCATCCCACCCGAGGCATGCGGAGGTAGCTCCATTCATCCCCTTGACTGCATTTCAGCTTTTGAATAGCTCGGCTGGCTCCGGGCAGGAGAGTGGGCGCAGGCTGTCAGAGCTGCTCTCAGTGTGTGGGAGAGCTGCTGAGGGAGCTCCGGCACCGCCGGTGGCTCAGCTGGGCTGGGAAGAGGGTGACAAGTGCTTGACCCATGTCCATCCAAACCTCTCCTGGTGCCTCAGAGGGTCTTGCTCGTACCCAGAAGCTTTTTGTCTCTATGCCTCTTCTCCCGGCACCTTTTGGGGTGCAGGGAGGTCCGTGCCTGGCTGCACAGGGATGCTCTAGCTGTGCTCCAGCGGCTGTAGCAGGTTGTGCCTGGTGTAGCACCAGTGTCTCCCAGGCATCATGCATAGAGGGAGGGTTAATTTAGGGGCAGCAGGGAAGAGAGGGAGCTGAATGGAGGAGGAAGGGATGGGAAGGAGACTGTGTGAGACCTGTCTCTGAACCCCCTTCCGAGTCAGGGGATGCCACGCAGTGGGGGATCCCACTGTGCCGGTGATGAGGCTGTGTGATGAGGGTGCAGCCATTGATGGGGTGACACAGCAGGGACCTGCTGAGCAACGGATGATGGGATCCAGGGGGGGCTGCAGCTCCCCAGGACCCTGCATGCTCCTGCCAGGGGTTTGAGTAACTGCCCAGCCAGCTTCACCCCACCACTTCCCCATTCCCACTCGGCACGGGAGTGCCACCTCCACCATACATCCGGGACGGCAGCTGCCCCAGTGCATGCTGTGGGGCTGAGTACATGGCATGCACCCCATTGCTCCCCTCCTCCTCCAGCTCTTCCTCAGCCCACGGAAGCCCCCAGTGCTGCCCAAACCATTCCATCAGAGCCCTGCGGTCGGGGTCAGGTCTTCTGGGGGTCTGTGTGGCCAACCTCAGTGTCCAGCTGTAGAGGGGTCCTCGGAGGAGCCTTAAAGCAAGCACTGAAGGGGGGCCCAGTGCACCCCAGGCGCAGGGAGGTATTGCTGTGCCCCGGGGATGTGGCGGTGCCCCGTGACCCGGCCGCCTCTTGGCACCGTTCTCCTTCTTCCTGCTTCGGGATCTTCCGCGGTGCCGGGGCGGCCCCCCCTGACCCATGGTTCTGGTGGGGGCGGCCCTGCAGCGGGCAGCCAGCCAGCTCCCCCCAGGTACGAGCGGGACCAGCCGGAACGCGGCTGCCTTGGGCTCCCTGCCCAGATTCCTGACCGATCCCAAGGCCTGCTCCGACCCGCCCGCGGGACCGAGGTGGGGAAGGCGAGGTGAGGGGTCCCCGGCCTTCCTCACCTCCTGCCTCCTAGTCCCGGCGTCGGGGGCACCCATAGCGAGCCCTTTCCGGAAGCAGGCACCGGGGAGGAGTGGTTTCAGCACCAATACCAACCCGTGGGACACGCACCCATCGGGGCACCCTCCGCACCGGCAGCGCAGCAGCGGGGCTGGCCCGAAGGGACAACGGTGACTCCGGTGCCCTCGCCAAGGTGAGAGCCTCTGCCCGCTCTGGGGGGGACGCTTGGATGCTGGGGAGATGGAGGAGAGCCAAGGAGAGGGTGCAGGAAAGGGGCAGCGGGCCCATGACGTGTTGCTGCCGCCGTGCTGGGTGAGGAGTTTGGGGCACCATGGCCGGGTGCCGGGAGGTGCCCGGGCTCTGCTATCTCCTGCCGGCGTCAATGTTTGCCCAGCGGCGGGGCGGTTCCTGCCTGCGCTCACCGGCACCGTGCCCGGGGGCACATGGGGGGAGCCGGAGCCGGGAGCTCTGCAGACCAGGGGGTGATGCAAGAGCCCTGTGCTGGGGTTCGATGCAGCCGGGGGTGCCTGGTCCCAGCGGGACACACCGCTTCCGCTAACACAGCCATGGCTGGGTAACTGCCCCACCTCTCCCAGATGGAAAGAGTGGCCCCACTGTCGGGTCCCGCGGGACAAGGACGTCCAGGGGATGTCTGACCCTATGGGCATGGATTGCAATGGACTTGGGAGTCTTGGAAGTGCTGTGTGGGGCTTGGACTGTCCCAGGGTGATGAGGAGCTGGTGACAGGCAGCAGGCAGGGAAGGATGGATGTGTGCCTTGGGACTGCGCTGGACAAGGCACCAGCGATAGGGCAAGGAGGTGGGGAGAGGTCAGCACTGGTGGCTGGGCCTGAGCCTGGGGTGTCTGGTGGCTTCATAAGCAGGGCAATACTTCAAGAGAGTGTCCTCTACCTCCATCTGGGGCCAGCACAAGGACAAGGTGGCCATTGGAGCCCCGAGATCTGTTGGATGAGGGACAGCCAGTGCAGTGTCCCACTGCATCCATCACATACCCCTCCTTTGAGCTGGAGGAAGCCCAAGGAAGGCATGACATTGGGACTTGCCAGGGCACAGGAACACCCCAAGAACAGCCCCGTCCCCACCATCGCTCCTGCTGGCATCAGCCGCATGGCAAAGGCCAGGGGGATGCTGTGAGTTCACCTCTGTGGTGCTGTGATGAGAGATCCTCATAGCTGGAGCCAAACCCAGGCGCTTGAGAGTTTGCTGGTGCCGGGCAGGGAACGGCAGCATCGGGATGCAGATCATCCTTCGGGCTGGAGTCTGCAGCCCTGGTTTACAGCTCACAACCTTGTCTGTAAGGGCATAGGTGAGAGTCAGAGCAGGAAGAGCTGCAAGGGACCTTGCTGTGTATGTGCCTGGGGAGCAGTGGAGAGCAGGGGATGTGTGGGGCAGCAGGCGGTGGCAGTACTGCAGGGGACAGGGGCTGCACAGCATCTCAAAGGACAGGCAGGGATGCAGACACGGTGCATGGTGGTGATATGCATGGGATATCACCCTCACCTTTGCCAGTGGTGCTTCACACACACTAATGAGACACATGGGTGTGCAAGGGTCTGGTGCACAGGGCCACAAGTGCCACTGTCCCCAGGCTCTGCGTTTCCATGCCTTCGTGCTCAGCTATTATTAATGTTCAGCATAAAGGCTCTTCCAGGCGCTGGGGGCTGGGAAAGCGATGTCTGAATCATTTTGCTTTTTCCCTGGCAGAGTTATTACTCATGAGGGTTAGACGGAGCTGGGAACCTTTCGTGCAAAGCCTTGCTTGTGCTTCACATTGCAGTGGTGGCAGACCTCATGTGATACCCACGTCTCCTCCACCAAGGCATCCTGGCACGCAGCAGGGGTGTAACCTGGGATGCCTGGCATAAAAAACTCAGGGAGACCTTTCCCTGGGCAGCCACAGGGGTAAATTAGGTTTTTCTTGTGGAAAATCCTCCCAAGGGGTGTCAATCCCTCTGGCATGGCTGTGTTTTCCCCTAGGATGGGGCATGGAGGGAGAGGCCCGGTGGCTATGGTGGCATCGCAGTGAGGCCACCCGGCTCCATTTGGGGAAGAGGTTTCAAAGAGAGAACAGGAACAGGACGACGTGTTGGAGTGCAGCTCCCATCAGCCCCCGGTGAAACCTCGCAGGGCTCGGCTGGGCTTTCTGTTTCCGAGCGGTTTGCTGTGCTTGTGCTAACAAATAGTTTCAACAGACCTTAGGTTACCACAGGGAAAAACCCAGCAGCCACATCCCAGGTAGAGGGAAGCTTCTCCCTGCTTACCACCACCAGTAAGGCAGGTTAGCTGGTGCTCTGGGCTGAACTGGGATGGTCCCGCTGTGCAGAGAAGGAAGTGCTGCAGATTCACATGCGCCTGGGAGGCCCAGCGTGTGTGAGCGAAGAGCTGCCTGACAGCATGAGCAGGGTTCAGGGTGTGAGTTATTTCATCCCTAGAAGGGTCACGTCGCTGCTTAGAGCAGAGAGTTGCACGGTGTTGCCCTGCTGCGGGGACAGGAGGTGATGTCCATGGAGGTTTTCAGCATCTTGGCCCTGTTTGTTGATGGACGAGAGCTCTGCCTGTTCCCTGCTCATGTGTCTGCCTGGCACAGAGTCCTGGTACTGGTCCTGCTTGGCTCCCAGCTCCACCATCCAGCCTCAGCCCAAGCACTGCCATGGGCAGGAGCTTGCGATGTGCAACCTGACCCTGGTCTTGCATTCGAAACTGTCTCCAGCAAGTATTTGGGGTGTTCTGCCTCTGAGCCTTGTGCAAGCTGCTGCAGAGGGGGGGCCACACTGCACATCCATCCACACTGCACGTCGAGCCATGCTGCACATCCAGCCACATTGCACATCCAGCCACGCTGCATGTCCATCCACACTGCACATCCAGCCACACTGCACGTCCAGCCACACTGCACATCCAGCCACGCTGCACGTCCAGCCATGCTGCACGTCCAGCCACATTGCACATCCAGCCACAATGCACATCCAGCCACGCTGCACATCCAGCCACACTGCACGTCCAGCCACGCTGCACGTCCAGCCACATTGCACATCCAGCCACGCTGCACGTCCAGCCACGCTGCACGTCCATCCACATTGCACATCCATCCATACTGCGCATCCAGCCACACTGCATGTCCAGCCACACTGCACGTCCAGCCACGCTGCACATCCAGCCACACTGCACGTCCAGCCACGCTGCACGTCCAGCCACATTGCACATCCAGCCACACTGCGCATCCAGCCACACTGCACGTCCAGCCACACTGCACATCCAGCCACACTGCACGTCCAGCCACGCTGCACGTCCAGCCACGCTGCATGTCCATCCACATTGCACATCCAGCCACACTGCGCATCCAGCCACACTGCACGTCCAGCCACGCTGCACATCCAGCCACATTGCACATCCAGCCACACTGCACGTCCAGCCACGCTGCATGTCCAGCCACATTGCACATCCAGCCACGCTGCGCATCCAGCCACACTGCACGTCCAGCCACGCTGCACATCCAGCCACACTGCACGTCCAGCCACGCTGCACGTCCAGCCACGCTGCATGTCCATCCACATTGCACATCCAGCCACACTGCGCATCCAGCCACACTGCACGTCCAGCCACGCTGCACATCCAGCCACATTGCACATCCAGCCACACTGCACGTCCAGCCATGCTGCAGGTCCAGCCACGCTGCACATCCAGCCACATTGCACATCCAGCCACACTGCACATCCAGCCACGCTGCACGTCCATGCACATCCATCCACACTGCGCATCCAGCCACACTGCATGTCCAGCCACGCTGCACATCCAGCCCATTGCACATCCAGCCACACTGCACGTCCAGCCACACTGCGCGTCCAGCCACACTGCACGTCCAGCCACACTGCACGTCCAGCCACACTGCACATCCAGCCACATTGCACGTCCAGCCACACTGCACGTCCAGCCACGCTGCACGTCCAGCCACGCTGCACATCCAGCCACATTGCACATCCAGCCACGCTGCACGTCCAGCCACGCTGCACGTCCAGCCACATTGCACATCCAGCCACGCTGCACGTCCATCCACATTGCACGTCCAGCCACGCTGCATGTCCATGCACATCCATCCACACTGCGCATCCAGCCACACTGCACGTCCAGCCACGCTGCACATCCAGCCACATTGCACATCCAGCCACACTGCACATCCAGCCACAATGCACGCCCAGCCACGCTGCACGTCCAGCCACATTGCACATCCAGCCACACTGCATGTCCAGCCACACTGCACATCCAGCCACGCTGCACGTCCATCCACATTGCACATCCAGCCACATTGCACATCCAGCCACACTGCACATCCAGCCACGCTGCACGTCCATCCACATTGCACATCCATCCACATTGCATATCCAGCCACACTGCACGTCCAGCCACGCTGCACATCCAGCCACGCTGCACGTCCAGCCACATTGCACATCCAGCCACGCTGCACGTCCAGCCACATTGCACATCCAGCCACGCTGCACATCCAGCCACACTGCATGTCCAGCCACGCTGCATGTCCATCCACATTGCACATCCATCCACACTGCGCATCCAGCCACACTGCACGTCCATCCACACTTCACGTCCAGCCATGCTGCACATCCAGCCACATTGCACATCCAGCCACACTGCACGTCCAGCCACGCTGCACATCCAGCCACATTGCACATCCAGCCACACTGCACGTCCAGCCACATTGCACATCCAGCCACTCTGCACATCCAGCCACACTGCACGTCCAGCCATGCTGCACATCCAGCCACATTGCACATCCAGCCACGCTGCACGTCCAGCCACACTGCACGTCCAGCCACGCTGCTCGTCCAGCCATGCTGCATGTTCAGCCACACTGCATGTCCAGCCACACTGCATGACCATCCGTGCAGCATGCCTGACCACGCTGCACACTGTGCTCTGTTGCACACCCTGCCATGCTGCACAGCATTCCACGCTGCACACCCTGTTGCCCCTGCCCAGCTATACCCCTTGCAGGCCTCTGTGAAGAAAACCATCTCTTCCCTTCACAGCGGTCAGCCCCACAGAGGCTTTTCCTTCCCCCCTCTCTGTACAGCACTTGATGAGGTAGAGCTGGGGGAGAGCTGTTTGGGGCCACGCTGGGGCTCCTCTCTCTGCTGTGACCCACAGCAGGGCAGAGGAG